ATTTTAAAGTGATTCATCAAGTGGAAAACTAATAAATAGATAGATAAACCGATATGTGGCGCCATCTAGTATACCTAAATTCATATAGACATTTTCATAAAAATGACCCGAAAAACGGGGCTAACTCGGTAACCCATGGCCCGATTTTAACGAAACTTGTTTTATTCTGTTTCTATTCTCATTTCATTACAAATATAGCGCTGTTGTGCGCCATTTTTGTTGTATTTAATTACATAGAAGCAAACACACAAACAATCTCAGAGTTTTAGTAGTATATAGATTTACCTAATCTAACCTTAACTAAGCTAAAGAGTTTCCTATTTTTATATTTTAGTTGCTTTTATAATAATAAATAAAGAATACATACAAAAACAAGAAATAAATTACTTACCTGAGCCTTCTTTTTATTTGCTGCTGATGACACCCTACATTTTTTTTAAATTAAATAATGCGTGTGTATGTGTGTTTTCTGATAGCAAAGCTACATCAGGCTATCTGCTGTGTCCACTGAGGGGAATCGAACCCCTGATTTTAGCATTGCAAATCCAAAGACTTAGAGCTGTCCCACCGGGGGACAATTAAATAATGCACCAAAGAACGTAGAATAATAACAGGCAAAAAACAGCCAATGTCCCATAACTATCACAATTTTTCTGGCTTTCTAACGACGCGACAAGAGCTGTTACAAATTATCTAAGCTAGCCAATGCGTTTCCCTTGAGACCGAAGCTTGTACTGAAAGAGAAGTTAACAATTTTGTGTACAGAAAACAATGTAATATATATAATAAGTCATCTGATAGATGAAAACCTTGGCTTTCTTTTGGTTAAACATAATATAGTATTAAAAATAGAGAGAATTATTGACAAATCCTGAAAAAGATAGGTGGGTGTGGCAAAGGGGGTCTAATTTTCTCTTTGATGACTCTGTAACCAAACAAAATTAAAGGCTATGAAAATTATGCGATAACAATATTATAATAAGTAAGTTACGTTAAATTTTGTACTTCTTGGAGGGGTGATAAATGAATTAGCGAAGAGGGGATGCCTAGAGAAAAAATGTCACATTTCTCTCAAAGGGAAATTCAGGATGATTTTTTAATATTACCTTATAAAATTAAGAACTTAAAACTTGTATACTATTAAAATATCGATTACTAGCTATGATTTTATGCTATGCTAATTGGTATAATATGAACAAACAAGAAGTAGTTTAATTAAATTTTGAATGTAGCTCACTAAAAGCCTCGTGAGATGCACAATAAAAATGAAAAGTTACTAAACATCATCTCTTCAAAAAGCCAAGAAGACCACGTTGTGAAAAGAGTAATGTGGTCTCAGTTGCAATTATTTTCAACTCACTTCTTTCTCTGGTTAATTGGTTGTTGGATTATTTTGTGACAGCTGAGGTGACTGGTATTTCTTGCAGTTTTGAAGTTTTACTTTATATACCGGGAACTACTTTGTTCATGAAATGTCATGTATGGTACAATTAAATATTAGGGTTTCAAGCTTAATAAAAGCGTTATTAGAATAAAAATATACAATTTACCTATTTTTCATTAGTGGATATCTTTCGAAAGAGTTTAGATATTTATTGCTGGGTTTAGTTGCCATAATGGTGACATGGTATATGGTTCTACATTATACGAAACAATACAGAACTCCCTCCAGAGTTAAATAGATGTTATGAATTACTCGATGCTGTAGTCAAAATAATTAACGATGTAGTTTATAGAATCCAGAAAGTTCGGTAGTCCTAGTCAAAGATCATCCACTTATTAAAACGTGAAAAAAATAGATATTATCGTAACAAAATATCAGAAAATAATACTAACATTAAGAACATTTGGAAAAGAATAAATTTAGCAATTAATAGGCGAGCTGCACCAATAAAAACAATAATCAAATTAACTCATAGGAAAAATGGGAATGAAATTAACTTAGTAGATAATCCAAAACCTGGAGCAAATATACTAAGGGAATATTTTACAACAGTAGGGAAAGAAATGGCAGAAAAAGTAGGTAAGAGGGTAGGGATGGATGAGGAGGGGGTTAGAAATAGCCTGGTGCTATACGGATGTATGGTAACAGAAAGGGATGTACAGTGGGTCATAAATGAACTGGAGGTGAGATAAGGTCCAGGACACGACGGCATTACTGTCAAAATACTTAAAGATAACATCGAGAGTATAATTAAACCCATAAAACATATAGTGAACTTCAGTATAAATAATGGTGTATTCCCTGATATATTAAAAACGTCTATTATTACCCCAATATACAAAAGTGGCAATCCAAAATTACTGTCCAACTATAGGCTAATTTCAATATTGTCAAATCTTGCTAAAATCTTGGAGATAATTGTTTTAAAAAAGTTAGTAGAATTCTTGAAAAACAATATAAAATTATCAAGTAATCAATATGGATTTCGGAAGGGTTTAGATCCACAAGATGTGATATCGGAAGTAACTACATACATAACTGACCAGCTGGACAAGGGTAGTAAGCCAGCAGCCGTGTTCCTCAACATGGCTAAAGCCTTCGATAGGGTGTCGCATTCCAAACTGATAGTTAAGTTGTACAACATAGGAGTAATAATGTTATGTTAAACTTATATTAAAGTTTTTTCATTACCCATTCAAGCCGTTTCCAAGCATTATTAGTCTCAAAGTGGGTTCCTTGGAGACGGCTTGAATGGGTAATGAAGAAAAACTTTAATATAAGATTAACATAACAGCAAATGTACAACGTTTCGACAAGGTTCTGTCATGTGATGACCCATTCAAGCCGTCTCCAAGCATTATTAGTCTCAAAGTGGGTTCCTCGTCATCGAATTCGAACCATCTCGTGCTGTGTTGTTGTAGAAAAGAAATATGTAATCCAATCATTAAACATTTGATACACTGTATAATATCGAATAATTAAATAGGCGCAATGTCATAATATTAGACATTTATATTAATCTAGGTTACTATACTGGTACAGATATGTCAATGACACTTTTGCTGGTTTCAGTTCTACAGAACACACACTAACTTTCTTTAAACACATAAATTCCATTCATCCCAACATCAGATTTACCATAGAACACGAAAACAATAAACAGTTATCCTTTCTTAACCTCAAAATTATTAGATCAGACACGCAGTAAAAAAACATAAATTC